CGTCGTCAAGCTAATCGACTATAGAAGAAATTGTATTAGATCAAAAAAAATCTAGCGATATGGTGAGCGACTACGTCGACGGTTATAGCGTGGGCTTTGAGGCGAGCGAGACCGGTTGCGGCGAGTTTCTTTGCGGCGTAAATCCTGCTGCATGAGCTCTTCAACAGCTGTTTGTTTGTGTTGACTGGCTGCTTCAGTCTTGTTTGTCTGCATGGATAAGGACGAAGCCGCTTTACGAAATGGATTGGATTTCACAATAGGCTTGGCTAACTTGTTTGGCTTCAAAAGGGATGTCCCTGATGACGCCGGTGGCTTTAATGATAGCTTTATAGGCTTGGCTTCCTTTCTAACCAACCCAGTGGCCTCAGTTCCAGCCTGTACCTGCGCCTTTTTAGCACGTTCAATCTGTTCTTTGAGCAGCTGCTGCTCACGCTGTTCATCGTCCATCTCCTGTCGCTCCTTCTTCATAATAGCTGCCTTGCGAGCCAGTGCTTCCGGACTAGTATCAATCCACTCGATCATCCACCCTCGTTCGGAATCCTCAACCTTGCATTTCCCTTCACGCCCAAGATACTTTACAAAGTCACTCAGTGTATTCCATCTTGTGGCATTCATATGCAGATGTTGACGATCAGCCACTATCTCCTGGTAGACCTGGTTAGCGGGTACTTTTTTGGTTCCAAATCTTCGCGACAAGACTGATAGGAATGCCTGCTCGAACTCCTGGGAAAATTGGCTCAAGTGCCTTCCGGGGTTTTCCGCAAATATGGCCATTTGTCGTTGATGCGATTCGGATGCGCAGTGGCATTTGAAGCCGTTTTCGTCGCGGCATTGCTTTTCGCACATTTGACAGTACCATCGTAGACGTTGCAGGCCCTTGGCCTTTATCCGGTTGGCTACAGCCTTGGGCGAGAAAAAGTCGTGTTTGGGCATAGTCTTTAAAGATTAAGAATGTCTGGCACTTTGTCTTTTGTGTAAACTGAATAAAGCAATGTGCTTATGGGCATCGGTCACCTGAAAGTTGGTTCTGACGTCTTATTAGGTACTTCAGATTTACTTTCTCAGCTTGTGACATTCGACCAAATATTGAAATCAGGACAATCTTTATGGCTGAATGCATGAATGGCCTCAAAAGAAAGCCTGTATCCCGATTTGTCTTTTTAAACGGCCGGGCTGGTAATCAGATTGGCTTCTTCTCATTAGTTCTTCAGGTGCAACGCTGATCCCTTATTATTCGGTTTGTTATGTGGAGACATTATGCATATATTCTTTTGAGAGTCCGCTGTCTTTATTAGCTCCTTTGTTTTCTCTTTTTTAAAAATTTCTCCAGTTGTTTATTAGTTAACAGATGTCCCAGCATTTGCATCTCAACCCGCTGCTTAACTATGGTAAACAGCAGCAGAGCTTGGCAGCTCAGGACGATGGCGAGCAAGAGCAGCAATCGGAGATGTCTAGCCGTCCGTCCTCGTCATCTTCAGCTATTCGGCATGGGCAGCTGCAGTCGCCAGCAATGCTGAGATATCCAACAACACAAATAAATACACAGTCCAACGAGACGCATGCTGTACGTGACCAGCCAGTCTATATGATGCACGACTATCGGTACTGGCCCTATGCACGCCATCCAGAAGCACAAAATCCTCTCCCCGCACTGTCATACATGGCTGGAGGGCCTTATGGAGTTCCGCAGCACCAGCCGCCAGGAGACTCTTTCATTGACATGCGTCAAAGATATATGCCCTGGCAGCGCCAGCGACGCACACGTGCATGCCAAAACTGCCATGTCAAAAAAGTGAAATGCGAGGGCAACGGAGGCCGGTGCTTTAACTGCATTCGGGCAAATATCGAATGCAAGTGGATTCCAATGAAGAAGCGCGGCCCAAAGCCAAAGTCAAAGCTATCAGAGTCTTCACCAATCAGCAGTCATAGCAGCACGGTTCAGCTTCCCCGAATCAGCGAACTACACGAGGAGCTTCAGAAAAACAATACAAGTCTTGGCCTTGGCACCGTGTCTTGTTCGCAAAACAGCAGAGCCACATCGACCACCACAGCAACCGCCTCGCCTCGTTTAGATGGACGGAACGAGCCCCTTTCTCGCAACCGCAAGTCTCGCAGCGTCAGTGCCTCAATTGATTCCGGCGCCGTTGCTGACGATTTCTACCGGATACTGACCAATGATACGTCAGGGAAACTTGGTTCCGAGTGGATTGAAAGCACATTGCGTCGCTTTTACTCGGAAGAAGTACCCAAGGAAACTCGAAATGCGGTCATTTACTATTTCGAGTACTTTTACTGTATCTGTCCGATATTCCATCCAGCAATGTTTATCCGTAGAGTCGTGGAAGGGCGAGTAGATCAGATCCTCATTGACTCGATGCGGGCGTCGGCAGCCCGGATAATCAACCGGCATACAGGCAGCAACATTGATTCCGATAAGCTGATTGAAGATATCAACCTGAAGCTGCTTTCGTACCTCGAAGACCCCAGCTTCGACTATGTACGAGCAGTGGTAATAATGGCTTCGCTTAATGGTGGTGAATGCCGGTTTATGATGTACAATATGTTGACGTGTTTGGCTTCCAGCCTGGTTACTCGCTTGGGCTGGCATATGTTGGATGCTCGACCTATCGATCCCAACATTACATGGAAGGACTGGATCAGTATTGAGCTCAAGCGGCGCACATACTATGTTGTGTTTCAGATTGATGGTTACTTGGCTATGCTTAGTGATCGGGCAATGTCGATTCCTATGAAGCGGGCTCTTGTCCGTGTTCCTGGATCAAGTGCTTGGTGGGATCATCTGGCCAATCCACGTATAACTACCAAAATACCTACGCGATTTGAAATCAATATGAGCAGAGAGGATATTATAAAGTCTGGCTCGCTTGTTCATTCATTCGTTGACTTGTGTGCTTTCACCACAATTGTTTCCCGCGTCAATGATTTGCTCTGGGATTTAAAGAGACTTCTACCCACATACCCCAACAAGGACGACTTTACGCCCAGCATTAGGCATTTGGAAGGATATGACATGGATAAGTTTAATGCGAAGCTGCCCATCCGCTCGCTATTTGAAATTGACGAGTTTGGCTACGTTCATGAATTGATTGTTGCATGGAGACGCAAGCTTGTTAACGCTGCCGATATGAGTGACATTACCGAATTTAGTCGCCCGTTTCCCAAATTCGGCGACTATACTCATCGCACTTACCAAATGCGCTTGCGCTACTTTTGCCTCTATACATACACTGTCCCTGTCATCCACTTTCTGCATTTTGCCAACCGCCCATCTTACTTTGAGACCACATCCCCCAACAAGGTTTTTGTCGATAACCCGGATATTGCTTCGCCACTGTCCTCTGACGCACCAGAAAACAAGGCTATTTACGAAATTCTGGCCACAGTGTTTGCCGAGCGACTTAACCGCGGTCTACTGGCATACGACGTAATCAGCGAGTCATGGAAGATTTGCGTCGAGGCTGTTTACGACTTGGTCCGTCATTTAGACAGAAACCGAGATATTCCGCTGGAGCGTTACGACCAAGTAATGCCATTCTGTCTGCTGACTTCAATGACCGTGTTGATTCGAAACGCTCATATCTGCAGACACTTTATTGAATCCAGCACTGCAAACGATAATATCAAAGGGATGGACAGTGTTCGTGAGGATTTGGCGCAAAGCACCACGGCGTTGCGTCGCTTATGGACTCTGCTGTGCGACCTTAGCCAGATTTGGCGAGTGGAAGGTATTGGCTATTTAATGCGGGTTATGCAGGTCGAGGAAGTAGTAAACGCTGCTGATTTGCTTTCTGGCTTATCGTTGTGAGGCAATGAAAATATTTTTGGACTTTGCTTAGGATTCAGATGCCGGTATAATCAAGCAGCTTGTGGATAATTTAGCAAATCACAATTAATTTTCTCATACTAGGGCTGGAAGCGCTGTTAGATCTACATTTAAAAGCAGTATTTCGCAGTGCTATTTCTTTGTCTCTTCTCTTTTCTAGTATATATTTTTGACATTATTATTTGGTTGGACTTGTTGCTGTGCAGATATATTTCAATATGCTCGATAGCAAGCACGACTAAAAAAACAAAATATCACTTGATAGGTTCCCTCGTTGTGCCTCACACTGGATAAGGAAAGGCTTGGTAAGCTGACCATTTATTAAGACTCTTGAATATGAAATCCTGTAGAGGGCCTTGATGCCTTCAATTTGCACTGATGGGGTTCCCAAATTCGCTAAAACAGCAAATATAGATGTATGAAGTATTGTTAAAAGCTTTAGTGCTTTTGAGAAACAACATTGCGCCTTCTATCTTGATGCAGTCAAGATAATGCGCAGCTCCCTGCACCAAATAAATGCTGTTATCCACTCCACGCCGCTGCAGAGTAAATTGCTCTCGCGAAATGAGCTTCTGGACTCGCTTGGGTATCCAATCAGCAAAAATAGTCAACAGGATCGTTAGATCGCTATTGAGAATGCTAATGGCTTCATAGCTGTACAGTGATGCCCTGCTGCCTGCTTTGTGGGCCACTAAAGTTATCCCACCAGCAAATCATGCTGGTACTGCTGGCGGATTGTCCAGCAATGTATTTCCCAGATGGCAGAGGATTTTCTGTGCTTTATCAGGTAACTCGAATTGGTAATAGCGCATGCGTTCTATCACGATCTGGTAATGTAATAAACCTGAAATTATTATATGCTGTCATCATTGAATTATTCTGTCATTAGTACTTTCAAAGTTAAATGCTATTGATTTTGCTGTGTCATCCCATACAAATATGTTTCTTTTTAACATTTGCCTACTTTTATCTTGTCTACTAGTAGCTCAAGGTCTTGCGAGTCGCGCATCACAATAATGTCATTGTTAGCGTAATTGTACTAGCATTTAAAATTTAGCTTATATATTACTCTCAAAGGCTACTGTCAGCAAGCAGTTGGGGCTAGATTAAACAGCAAGCAACTTGTTCAGGTCTTGTGACTTCTAGCCAATTGAAGGGGTTCGTGGCGCAACGGTAGCGCAGTCGCCTCCAGAGCGAAAGGTTGTTGGTTCAAATCCTGCCGAGCCCAAAATTTATTTTTTGACAAACTTTTTGTGGCAGTCAGGAACAAGCAAACAGTAAACGGTCGGGGTAATTACTGCTTTATTTTTATCGCTTTTAGACCTGGAGGAATGCCAGGCCATGGATGCAGTGATATTACGCTGAATAAGTGACCTTAGTATTGCAGTTATTTTTATGAAAACTAGACTATCTTGTTACTGCGAGCTGACAAGAAATATAATAGCTTTATTTTGCAAGTGCTTGGATTCAGATTAGACACCGCACAATTAGAAAGAGGAAAGACAGCGGATGCTCCAGTAGTCTATAATTCTGTGAGTAAAATCAGGAAGATTTAACGATATCTATTGTTTTTTTACTGAATGTCTGAGACCATTAGCGCAAAATCATCACACGATGTGAAAATGAAAGGGCAGTAAAGTGTTCTTATTTAAGGCCATGCCTGGCTGCTTACAATGTAAAAGTATGTAGATGTTGGGATAATGAAGATACTGGCCATTAGTGTATTTGTTTTGTATTTAATAGGCAGCAGCTTGGGTGCATTGTCGAATGACCAAAAATGGTCGATAGCCGAGTTAGCCCACCGCATACACGGGGTGAAGATGGGTAGCTTTGAAGAGACAAAGTTGTTTCGGTTGCTGGCGGTTGCGTTGAATGACCGGACAGCGCTGGAGGCGATGCTGACGGATCCAGAGTCGGCATCGTACAAGGCGGGACTGATTAGCCTGGCACAGGCGGTGAAGCTATACGCGTGGATTGGACGGGACGATCAGACGCTGATGGAAACCCTGCAGGCGGTAGCTAATCGGCTGAAAGCCCTGCTGACCCAAGAAACGCTGGTTTGGGAACCGTGACATTTTGAGGTTCTATCAAAAAGGAAACTAAAAATAGTGTAAATTGGGGGGGACAGTGTCGATCATAGATTTTTATAAAGCCCAATGAAAGGCATAGAAGCTCATTTAAGCACATTGTGGAATAAGGATGTGGGCCAGAATTAACAAACATGGAGTTCTTTTTTAAAAAAGAAAACCTGTTCCTTGGGGTTGCAATCCAAAAAGAAAAATGACAGCCCGCATGCAACCCACGCCGTTTTTCTTTACACAGAAAAAAGGATGTGCAGTTTTATTTCGTACTCGGGTGCTCACAGTCCATTTCCATCTCTTTTTTTTGTTTTTTTCACCACCTTGACTTTATTTTCCGCCTCTTTCCCTAAACTTACACTTGCGTATTCGCGTCTTTTTGCATTCATTGTTTTTCTTGAACAGACCGGCAGCTTTGGATATTTAACTGAACATTTTAGAGAACCGATATTAATTGTGTGGGTGGGCCTTTTTTTCAGCAGACATAAACAATGAACTGTCGAAAGGCCCGCATAGCGTTGGCTCTTTTTGTGGCCGTGGGGCTTGCGGCTGTTTCTGCGCAGCATGTGGATGAGAATGCTGTGGCCAGCGAATCTGAGCTTGTAATATTGTCGCCGCTGGCAGAAGTATCTGAATCGGACGAGGAGTTAGAAAGCTCGGCAACGCACAACCGTTCTACCACTATTGCGGACGATAATGAGCCAACATCTACTCCGGAAGAGATATCCAGCTCCGATGATTCCGAGCTTGATTCAGACAGCAAAAGCGATGTTAGCAGCCCGCCGCCTTCAGATGCAAAAGAATCGTCTAGTGACGACTCCAGCAGCAATATTTTGTCTAGCGATGATTCCAGTAGCGATATTCTGTCCAGCGACGTATCCGACAGCAGTTTGGAATCCAGCAGTGACGATGATAGTAGCTCATCAGAGGAGCAAAGCAGCCAGGCTGACAAGTCGTTGGAAGTATCACCCACTGACGACAGCCAATCTGAAAGCTCATCAGAAGGAACGGGATTGTCAGAAAGCAGCGACGAGTCGTCTCAGTCATTAGAGTCAGGCTCTTCTGAAGAAATTTCATCCTCTGAAGACCTCTCTTCATCTGTTGAAGATCTCTCTTCATCTATTGAAGAACTCCCTTCATCCTCTGAAGAACTCCCTTCATCCTCTGAAGAACTCCCTTCATCCTCTGAAGACCTCTCTTCATCTGATGACATCGCCTCCTCTTCCGACAATTCCCTAAATTCGAGCTCTTCTGAGGATTCCCCGGACTCGAGCTCTTCTGACGATGTTCTTAGCTCAAGCTCTCCCGATGATTCTCTAGACTCAGACTCTTCTCAAGGTAACATCTCCGAAACCATATCTGACGAATCAATCTCATTGGAGCAGCCATCACAGTCGTGGTCTAGTTCAAATGAAGCCTTTGAATCGGAAGGCAGCAGCGACCTGCTAGAAACCCCTGACGATACATCCGAACCACTAACCTCACTACCCACTTCCATTTCCTCACCTTCCACCACCTTCCATTCCGTAGATTCAAGTTCCGACGAAGATCTGTCCTCCAGCATCACTGAAGACGTTTCGGGAGACAGCACATCTGTAGATCTGCCCAGCGAAAGCGTAACGGTGGACAGCTCCACTGATGACGAACTCCCAGGTATATCGTGGCCAGAGATAAGCTGGCCCGAAATTAGTTGGCCCGAAATTAGCTGGCCAGAGATCAGCTGGCCTGAAATCAGCTGGCCGCACGAAGATGATTCCACAACGCCCATAGAAACGGCAGAGCCAACGGAAACCAGCAACGAAATGTCGCTTATTGAGACTCCAACCGACGAACCTTCAGATGACACGTCTTGGCTGATTAGCTGGCCCTGGCACGACAAGAGCACATCTTCATCAAGTGATCTTGTCTGGCCCCCAGAGCTCTCCAGCCTGTCTGATGAAGATGAGACCAGCATTGGGTCAGGAGTTAGTGAGCCTTCTCTGTCGGATGACTCTATTACTGATAGCGATTCACTTGGCCCGGGGATTCCTGACAGCAGCAGTGATAGCTGGGACTCGGAGACTATAACGGATTCTGGCGATTTCAGCGAGTCTGGTCTGCCCAGTGAGTCTGGTCTGCCCAGTGAGTCTGAATTGCCTAGCGAGTCCGAGATCCCTAGTGATTCTAGTCTCCCCAGTGAGTCCGAGATCCCTAGCGATTCTGGCCTTCCCAGTGAGTCCGAGATCCCTAGTGATTCTGACCTGCCCAGCGGGTCCGAGTTGCCTAGCGAGTCCGAGTTGCCCAGTGAGTCCGAATTGCCTAGCGAGTCCGAGATTCCTGGTCCATCAGAGCCTTCTAACGATTCCGAGATCTCTGTACCTTCAGAAGAGTCTTCTAATGATTCTGAGATCTCCGTACCTTCAGAAGAGTCTTCCGAATCTCAATCCTCTCAACCTCCTGAGCCAACTCCCGAACCACCAACACCTGAGCCTACAACACCTGAGCCTACAACCCCCGAGCCAACGACGTCTTCCAGCAGCTCTAGTACCAGATCATTTATCTCAGTACCCTCATCGGTTGACTTTAGCCGGCTGACTGCCGAACCTTCGTCAACAGTGTCGGAAGTCGCCAGCGCTGGTCCAGATGGGGATCCAGTCACATACCCGCAGGTAATCTACAACCAGCTGGCATCGGCGTGCACACAGTGCCTCAAGTTCAACATTCGGATTCTGGCGCCGTACGAGAACCTGTTTGGACAAGACAACTACTTGGCATCGCAGGCCTTTAACCAGATACCGAACATCATTGCTAGCGCGCTATCGATAAACTACAACCGCGTATCATCTACAATGATCTTTGCTACTGAGAACGCAGTCGCCAGCACCAGAAGACGTTCGCTAGGTGTTCGCAGCGAACCTTCAGGGCCCCACTACTATATGAGTCTGTCCATCAACAAGGATGGCTCGGTGCTGAACCCCAAGAGCGAGCTGCAGCAGCTAGCTACCGCTTTGAATCTGCAGATACGCGATGGGTCAAGCGCGCTGCACAACGAAGGCACATGGGGCAAACTCATTGACTCGCGTTATTTCAAGATCACCAACAATCTGGATAATCTCGACAACTCGGCACATGTGGCACCTGAAAACCCAGGACAGGTCGACACTCCTTACTTGAGCAACTCTAAATCCACGTCTCGTAGCAAGTGGATTGGTATTGGAATTGGGATATTCTTTGCGGTGCTTATTGTTGTTCTGGTCATTTATTGGCGTGTACGTCACCGAAAGAACAAGCAAAGGTTCCGTAGCAACTTTGTTGCCATCGAGTAGACAGAAAATTTTGTTAGCGTGCGTGCGACATTAACGACTCCCCTTTAGTTTTTTTTCACACTTTTTTAATGTCATCGGATATTCCAAGAAAATTATTGCATTTTTGTTTTGTTGTGTGAGAATGCTAGAGAACATAATGCGAATTTGGCAGTAGAATAGGGATTTCTTAGCCACAACATTCACGTAACTAATTCTTCTGGGTTCAACGAACAAAAATAATTTCTTCTCTTAAACCTTTTTAGAATTATTCTGTAATACTTATGACTTGTGCATATCCACTGCATTACGATGGGCTGGTCCTGCATGGAATGGGACTAGCTCGTCGTCGAACCATGAACAGCACCATTACACGCAACTCAATTATCGACGATGCACCCGAGTACGCTGTTGGAGGTTATTTAAGCGACATCAGCGAAGATGCTAGCACATTTGGCGATGAAGGCGATAAACTACCATATGTGCCTTCAGAACGGCAATATCTAAACAAATGCATCACCGATGTGGTGGCAGACAGCATTCCTGAATGGTCGCCGGCAGATCTAAACATTCCAAAGGCACGCCGGCGCCAGTCGATAAAGGCGCTAGGCAGACGGCTTAGCCTGAGTTTTAATGGGGTTAGCAATACTATCGCTGCACATAATCGGTTTCGAGACAGCATTATGTTTGCGCCACGGCCAATCGAAGGTACACGTAGTTTGGACCACCCAGGCACCAAATGGCGGCGCACGTCATGGCTAGGCAGCATCAAATCGCGCATCAAAGACAGCCTTCATCGTCATCGAATTCAACGCCACGACACCGAGGCCACTGCTCCTATTGCTTCTGCCTTCGAGTGTCCGGAAACT